TCTCCAACGACAACCTTTGGGTTGATTTGATATTTCTCAAAATAATCATTGATGATGGACATTGTAGTATGTTCCTCCTTGTCTTGAACAACTTCGCAGGTCAAAAGGTTTGTCGCCCCATCATAGAGAATGAGAAATATGAGACGGCTAGACTTGCCAGGGATTGGCAACTCTCCATGATCTAGAAAAGTTAGATCCCCGAAGGTTTCGGATCTTAGACCGGAGATTTTTGCTCTAGAAGGAGCTCTTTTATGTTCCTGGCAAGCTGAACATTTCTTGACCAGTTGGTCGTAAAGTTCATAAATTTCCTTTGGGATCTGAAGAGCCTTCGTCCTTCTTTTGAATTGATCTGTATTCATGTGACGATGCTTCAGATGAAGCTTGTAAAGCTCTACTGGATCCTTGAGCTTCTCATGAATCCTGCGAAGGGCAATCGGAAGAGATGGTGATGGTTCAGGAACAATCTCTTCTTCATGGAGTCGCTCACCTGGTGGTGAATCTGTCCTAGGAGCCGGGTATTCTCTTGACTCAAGTGGTCTTACCTCCGTCCCGTGATCAGCTCCTGGGACAACAGACGTTTCCTCCACTGGAGGCTTGACTGCGTATCTCTTCTTCAAAAGATTCTTGAGACCCTTTGGGGTCTTCACCTTTCCTGGTGGAAGCTCAGGTTTCTCTTCAGATGGAGGTTCGGGTGGTCCCGAAACTTCTGGAGGCTTGTCTCTTGAGCCTGAAGATGGTTCCGATGGTTCGGCAGGCTCAGGAGCATCACCAGAGGGTTCTAGTGGTTCAGACCTTCTAGCAGAGGTTTCTGCCGGATCTGATGGAGGTGCTTTGTTCTTACCTGGAATGCCCTTGGGTGGAGGATCTGGTGCTCCTTCAGGTGCTTTGTCGCAACCTTTCAGGAAGGTGTGAGGCTTCTTCTGTCCTGCGCACGCTGGACAGCGACCTTCTGGGATCTTCGTGTAAGATCTCCTTTCTTCCTTTGGCTTCTTAGATCCTAAGGCAGTTTCCGTGGCTTGAAATGACGAACCTGACTTAGAATTATACTTCCTTGTGGAAGTGAAGCTCAGAAGATCCAACACCAAATGATTATTGATTATTGGTACTGATCGGAAGAGGAGTCTTGTAGAGACCAAAAGCTTCACACGTTGCAAGATCCGCTGTTGGACTACACTCAAGGGTCATTCGGAGACTCCTCATCTGTTCAATGGAGAACAAAATGGGAACTCTTCCTTGATCAAGCACCTCTATGGTAGTATCCCTTCTGGGAGTAGTATTAAACCATAGGGTTACGCGCTCCTTGATAAGAGCTGTTTCACTGTCTGCAAAAGAGAACTTCGTGTTCGAAGGTGAGAAAGTGAAATCAATCATGCCTGGGGCATGTTGTTTGACGGCCTTGATAAGCCGATTCACCGCATAGCGGGATCCCATGGCCCTTGTACAACCTGAGTCAAGAATGACAAAGGTAGGGCTTCGATCAAGATTGATCCGCTCTGTGAGAGCAGATAATACGGTGTGCTGCAACGGAAACACTGCTGTTGCAGTCTCCACACCTGGCCCTTGACGCTCTTCATGTGTCAAAGGCAGATAACTCTCAGAGGAGTTGTACACGGCTTCATGGTGCGCGCTCGGATCTGTGCCTCTACCTGTTGATCCTTTGTTCGTTCTTCTCTTCTTCTTCCGTGCTTTTCGTTTTGAGGCATGTGCATAGTATGTATAAGACGTATTTTCGTCATAAGCGGCATAATTCCAACCTGATTCAGTATAGTAACTGTCCTCATACCATGAATCCCAGCTCGGTGTGGTGGAACCTTCATAGGCTTGTGGAGATCCTGTTTGATCTCCTTGTAAGGAGGCAGACTTAGCTGTATCCTTACCTTTGCCCTTTGCCTTAGCGCCTTTGAAAGAGCTTCCTTTGTCTCCTTTGTCTTTTCCTTTCCATTTGCCTTTTCCACCCTTTCCTTTGTCCTTTCCTTTTCCTTTACCGAAATAGCTGGAATCGGTTGGATCATGTTCTGCCTGGTTGGCTCTCCCTTTTCCGCGGTATGACCTGAAACGGCCACGTCCTTTGCGCTTGCCACCCTTTGCTCTTCCCGGAGATCCGGGACGCATTGTTGGTTTTCTTCCTTTCTTAAATCTCCTTGCAACGAAGGCCTCATGGTCATCAACTGTCCAAAAGACAGTGTCTTCCTCAGCGGCAAGGAAGCCTTCCTCGAGGGTGTCTTCATCCTGGAGCCAGAAACCATCTACTCCATCGTATTCACCCTGATCGAGGGTGAGGAAGTTCCGACCTCCGCGTTTGCGGCGTTGGTCTCTCCTTCCGTGGCGGTCCTTCTTGTGAGAAGTGTGCCGAATATTGGGATCCTGCAGACCAGTTCTGGTCGTCGAGAACTGATCGAACGTACCACGGGGTACGTGTAGGTCTCAATTCGGTACCCTTGGTTGGTTAATGCTGATACCAACCTCTCACGTTGTGTTTCATTCAGGTCGGACTGCACTAGGAACAGGAGAGCTAGGAGATTATCACTCAGTGGAAACGCTCTTCGATGTCTTTCAAGGCGTTCCTTGTTCCACGTCTCAAAGTATCGTGCGGCAAACTGTTCCTGTTCATTTTGATCCTGTAGGCGCATAAAGGTTGGATCTGCCTGTACGACAGCAAGAAACTCAGGATTGCCATCTTCCAGGTTTACCTCTGGTAAGAGATCCATCCAAGAGTTTCTTAGGCGCTGCAGTACGATCTCAAACTTGGCAATCCAGGTGACAAAGTCCTGGTTGCCTTTTCACGCCTTGAACAGGCCTAGGAACCGCCACGGGAAAACGTACTGTTCTCCTTTTACAAATTTTGGACGCATCTTCTTCTTGAAGTAATCTACTCCATCTTGGGCTGCAAGCCTTTCTCGATTCAAAGATTCCTTCTGCACTGCGGCCAATCCGGAGAGCCTCGTCTTGAGAGACGGACCTCTTTTGTTCTCATCCAGCGTTGTTATGTCGCACCAGTCGTCAATCAACTGTTCATACTCAAACCACGACGTGGTGCCATCATAGGCGGGCGCTATTTTGGGCGTGATGCCTAGTGAGGCTAGCATGCGGTCAGATGATGCATGTGACTGCGCGACACAAGTAGCTGGACCTTGTGAGGTCTCATCATCCTCATATCCCCCGGAGGATTGGGAGCTGTCGTCGGCTTCGCTATGCGAGCTCGACATGGTGCTGCCTCAGCCCGCTTTGTTAAGCGATCGGCTGAATGCCGACCGCTGTTGCGGTGCTTTGTGAGGCGGGCGGCCCTTCCGGGCTCCGCTACCAGAAAACTGAGCCGATACACCCCTTTAGGATTACTCCTGTGGGAGTGTATGACCAGTTTGTGTCCCGTGGGATCTAAGGCAACGCCCAGCACACGGACAGCAAGTGTTTTGTTCTGCTACGCAGAGAGAGCTTTGTGTCAAGTCGGTAAAACCACTTGAGCCAGCGAGCAACGGACATATATACATGTGAGCATACAACCATGCCATTGCTGAAAGTACCTACCCCTTTGGGAGTTTAGGCAAACAGGGGGGCTTAAAGGGGGGCTTTAAAGGGGCTTTAAGGGAGGCGACAAAAGGGGGTTTCAGCGGGCTTGAAGGGGGCTTCAAACGAGGGCTTAGCGGCGGAAAGGATGACTTCAAAGAGGGCTTTGAAACGGCTACTTGTTCAGGGAGCTTCAGCTCCAACGGTAGTTTCGTTCACTTTCTCGCGATTTGTGCTGCTTCTCTTTCGTCTAGGGAGGCTTGAGGGGGGGCTTAAGCCCCTTTGTCAAAGGGGGTGCCTATAGGAAGCAGTCCGAGCTGAAGCCTCAATCCTTTTTCTTTTTTCCAAGGCTTGGGAGCTTCTAGTGGGTGTTGCGACTACTGTCATTGGCTCAAGACACGTGAACCAACAGTTAGCTGTACGTGCAAGAAAAGAAAGAACTGTCCGAGTGCTGTGAGTTTGTTTTGCCAGCGTGAAGTGCAGCAAGCTTGCTCAAAGTGCTTGGCTGCTTTTTCGTGATTTTCGTGGACGCCAGAATTGCGTCTGTGCATCGTGTTCCCAACGGTTTGGATTTGCTGTCCTGTGGAGGACTTTGTCTGGCGGAAGCCGGTTTCCCGCGGGAGGGCGTTTCCGGCCATAGGGTTTTGCCTATCGGGGGACTCTTCCTGCCTACGGCAGTTTCCCTCTTGTTGCCTTTTCTTTGGTAGAGGCACAGCCAAAAAACAGGGGGCCCTTTCCGATTTTTTGCGGTTTCCAGCCACAGGCCGTTTCCAGTAGCAGCCTGGTTCCTTTCAAAGAGGGTTTCCGGCTGGAGGCTTACCACCCCTTCGGGACTTCATCTGGCTCAGTGCAGCAACGCATCACAAGGGCCCGATCAGCGAAATTCACGATCTGCATCCCGAAAGTCTGTGGGCTGATCCTAACCTCGAGAACTTGTGTTCTGAACTTGACAAAAGCATTTTCCTCGTTGGTTGGCATTGCAGGCTGGAAAGAAGAAGTGGGTCGCGATGTTTTGAGCTGGTGCACGCACTCCACCACCCCTATGCAATTGATGGCGGAGTGCCGATTGAGCGCTGTGCAAGTCAAATGTGTGCATGACAGTGTGGCCGTCCGTGAAAAAGTGTTTTGCAGTCTGCCGCGTCTGCGTTGTGTGCTACTGCTAATGAGATGCCGTGTGTCTGTCCAGTGCGACCTGGTCTTAGACGTCGTCGCAGCTGCCATCCCAACACGCAACGGCTGCATGCATTTTCAGAAATTTTGCATCGATGGAGCAGTGGTTTACATTTTGTCATTGCGTTAGGTTTATTGCTGAGCATTGGACAGTGTCATCTAACCATATTGCGTGGAAATGCTACGAGGATCTTGCGTGGTAGTTTTCTGTTACATTACTTCGTGGCAAAGCCGCGTTTATAGATAGAAAAAAGTCTGGAACTGACGGTCATGACAAAGGCTCAATATTTCAATGGCTGAACGCGTGCTCAAGCTGCGCGCCTTTTATGGTTTGCGGGCAGAGGTTCCATTATTTTCCATTCGTAGATTCGGTTTTTGTTGAGTTATTATTTGTTCTCATCCAATGTCAGTCGACCGTTAAACCAGACAGGCCCGATTTCGGCTTAGGTGCCCTGGTTGCCACATCGGTTTTTATGATTTTGAGCTTCATGCCGATCTCTTCAAAGGTAGCGATGCATCATGCAGATCAGGCGAGAGCACAGCTGCATGTATGTTTCCAGTTTTATGTTTGGGATTGGTCAATGGTGTCACATGTGGAGGCATCAATGTTGTCACGCCCAATTTGCGACCTGATGTGGTTTAAGCGTGTTACGCATTTTCATCCTTGCAGTGAGCGGTCCTTGAATGCGATGGGGCATTCAGACATAAGATGTTCATACAAGCGAATTCAAGTTGTCGGACAAGGAAACTTTGGATGCTGCTGGCTGGTGCAGGGCGGACGTGGTGAGCAGTATATCCTGAGACAAATTGATGTGTCTAAGATGTCGGACAAACTGAAGCAGGAAGCTGCCAACGAAGTGAAAGTCCTCAGCAGATTGCGCCATCCGTTCATCATCAACTACCGAGAGTGCTTCGTGGAGGACGGCTTGCTTTGCGTGGTCACAGACTTCGCTGAAAGCGGCGATTTGTACCGAAGCATTGAAAAACAACGAGCGAAGCCCGACTTATTTTCCGAAGAATTGATCCTACGCTGGTTTACCCAGACTGCATTAGCTTTGAAGCACATTCACGATCGGCACATTCTGCATCGTGACTTGAAGACCCAGAATATCTTCTTGGCTGGTCCAGGAGAAGGCATCGTCAAAGTGGGTGACTTTGGCATTGCCCGTGTGTTGCAGCATACTCAAGATTTTGCGAAGACCGCCATTGGAACTCCGTTTTATCTTTCGCCCGAAATCTGTCAAGAGAAGCCGTACAGCTATCAGTCAGACATCTGGTCTTTGGGCTGCATTCTCTATGAGCTGGCAACGCTTCGTCATGCTTTTGATGCAGACTCGATGCGTGGCCTCGTTTTCAAGATACTGCGTGGCATTCCATCTGAAGTGGCATCGACTTTTTCCGTCGAGTTCAGGCACATGATTCCGAAAATGTTGCAGAAGGATCCGCGTCATCGCCCATCAGTCGATGCAATTTTGAAGATGACCCTGGTGCGCCGCACTATTCGTCACCTTCTTGCCGATTTGGAGTCGCAGCAAGGACCGGCCAGAGTTTGATTCTTCAAGTTTCGCTTTGCATTCGTTCTGCATTGTCAGGACTTTCGGCTGCGCTTCTGCATCCGAAGGTCGTGCTTCAGCAAAGATTCCGAACGCAAAACTTGTTACGAGATTGGAACTTGTGTTTGACTTCGCTTGGGAATGACCCGACAAGCAGTTGTGCAGGTTTTTTCGGAGGCGAGACGCCGACATCCCCTGCCGTCATCCGAGTGCGAGCGCTTAGTGTTCATTCGCTGTAGAGGTTTGTGCAGCCTGTTCAACGGTTGTGACATGCTCGACTACCAAGAACATATGTGCCGCACGACAGACCCAAGACGAGCAGCTTGACTGCAGTGCGAGGTTTCTTGCTTAGTTCCCATGTAGGATTTTGGGCGTATCATTGCGGCCACTGTGACTCGCCATGATGAGTGCAGTATGGCAGTTCTTCGGTATTTTTCTAGCCTGCATACCAGGCCAGTCAACACAAGGGTTAAGTAAGACATAAGCTGGCACATCTTTCCAAGGTGGTCTTCTCCTAGAAGAAGCAGCGTGTGCAAGCGGCCGGCAGCATTTGCATGATGCAGCTCACGATGGGAGGAACTCTGCAGGCTGACTTGGCACTCAGACAAAGTGATTGATGTTGTCAGAGTTGCCGATCAGAGCAAATCAACGTTCAGGTAGGGTGCCGAGCTGCCCAAGTTGGACAGACCACAAGATGTGCGATTCGCTTGTGGCTCGCTTGATGTTGAGTCATTCAAAACTCGGTTCGGCGCACTGCTGTTTAGCTCGCCAACCCTTTTCTGATCAAACGTGTCTGATGCGGGAACAGCTTTGACGAGAAGTGATGGAGCCTCTACTGTAGCCAGAGGCACAGAGATGCCGAGACGCTTCAGTTGGAGACGTGAAGACAGGCAATGCTTTGTACATCACTGCTGCAAGAGGTTGTTCGTGGCAACTTTCCAATTAATGCGACAAGCCAGGCCGCACCACACTAGGCCAAATAATGCGGGTGAACACACATCCATAATAAGGTCTGATCTGAAGGTTTGCCGAGCTTACCGAACACATCATCGCTCAAGGTATGGTGCAATATCAATCTCTCTAGTTTGTGGTTGTCAGTCGCTCCAATTTCCATCTCGATGGGCAGTTGCGGGGATGGGTGGCAGTGGCCGTGGTTTCTGCAGCACTGTTGCTTTTCCTGTGCATTGGGAAGATGCAGGAGAGACCGCAGCTATTCCGTTGCACAGTAGGCGGCTAAGCTCGACAGGAGCAGGAGAAACACGCCAGCATGACAGGTAAGATGAGGTCGTGTGTTGAAGAGTGGAGGGATCGAGCGCCGAATTACCGGGAGAACAGAGGAGTGTGGCCGTGTCTGCAAAAATCGTCGGGGCGGTTGTACCTTGCAGCGATCATGGTTACGGAGCGACTAGTGTGGTAAGCCAGTTGGTGTTCCGGTGCCTGAAGCCGGCTTTTCGCTGCGTTGGAAAATGCCTGTTGTTGAGTTTGTGACCCTGTGTTTCCATAGCTTCTATGTCTTTGTATGTGCTAAGAGTTGCTTGATTCACTTTGCGAGCCAAGGACACGGTCCAGCAGCACGTGAGTCTGCAGGGCAAAATGTATCGTGATGAAGGCTCCGCAGCACGTGCTAATGCAGTGGTGCTTGAGAAGAGTCTTGTGAAGCGGAGTCGCAATCCTTGATGATACAAGTTTGGTGCAACTATTGCCGAATTTTGCAGTTCGCTCATTAATAAGGTATGGCAGATCCTGTTTTGCTGAGCTGTCACGGGCTGTCGCAAGCGTGTGTGTGTGTGTGTGTGTGTGTGTGTGTGTGCGCGTGAGTGTGGCTTGCACTCTTTCGCTATCCAGAGGTCACGAGAAAGGACATCCCTCCACAGTGACGGCAGCTGTGGAACAGCAGTTGGTGTCGCCTTGAAGCATTCAGTTTGTTGCAGCGTGGCTGATATGAGTGCAACAAGTCATAGAGGCAGAGGTCTTCCTTGTCACCTGGCAAAGGCTGTCAGGCTCCATCGTGGCAGAAGACAAGGCTGTCTGCCACTGGCCCAAGGCGGACGACGTTGTTGCAACTATTGGTTTTGATGTCATTATCTTGCTTGCTGTTCTGCACAAGCAAGAGATCAAATCGTCAGCAGGACCTTGTCGGTCTAGGTTTACCCGGAATCACAGCTGTGATTGCGGTGTGGGTGAGTGGGATGTGGCTGGGTGGGATTGCGGATTCCATTGATATTCGTCTGCTGGGCGAACGGTGCTAGTATCATGAAATATCCTAAGGTGGGGAGAGACAGTGGCTCGTTTCTTGTGGGGAATGTTGTCTTGGCTTCCTCGTCCGGGTGAGGAGGTGGGGTCGCTGCAAAGGCGACGCGACCTACAATCATAACTTTTGTCGGTGTCAAGCTGCTTCAAAAAGGAATGCAGCCAATTGTGTTTGGGTGCTATGCCTCAGCTTCGATGAGTTTCCGTACCAGACTTGAGCGAGATGAGCACCGGGAATCAAACGATGCAGAATCACGTGGAGCGACATCCTGTGAGGCTTGCTTGTTGCTTTCCGAAGACGGCGGAGCAGGCATTCATGCAGCTTGTCGCTGCGTAGCTGTATGAGTATGACATGCCGGCGGCTATCAGTCGGCTTAGTTTACATTGGTGTCTGTTTGTCAGATCGTATCTCTGGTTTTGCGCATCCAGACGGTGGAAGGCTCAACTTGCATCGTCCTTACAGGAACAGTGTATGCCACGTTTTGAGAAATCCATTATTTCTGAGCATTAAGATTGAGTCAGGCATGTCAGCAAGGGGGATTCGTTGGCTTACCGCATCGAGGCCGCAGAGTGTGACGTGATGTACTTGAGTGCACTGTGGCGTACTTGCCAGCTCCAGGTTTTACGGTTTTTCCTTGAGAAAGAAATGGGCCTGGCGGGTTTCAGTGCAGCGTGCAAGCACATCTCCGAAGGCTCGGTTCGACAGTTCTTGAGTGACTTGAGTATGAGACTGCATGCGATGAGAGGTTCGACGCGCAGAGATGATGACATCAATGATGGTGTTATCGCGACTGCCGTGACGGAGGAAACAACACGTCTATTGACGTGTCCACTCATTCGACGCTCTTTTTTTCTTCCCTCGTCTCTGCAAGGCCAACCCATTGCAAAGTGATTGCGGCGATGTTGCCTTGCCGACACAGGCACGCTGCAGCCCTTGAACTTGGTTCATCGATCGCACTGTGCAGTTACGTCCAGGGAGCGGTAAAATGAGCAAAGTTTCTGGTAATGAACATATTAAATGCAGAATGCAGAAGAAGTTTGAGCTTTCTCCGTCTGTCTATTATGCATTCCCGGCATGTGCTGGATATTGAGCAAACGGCTGATTTGTTCGGCACCTGACGACTAGCACGAAGTATTACAAACTCGTTTTCTGTCCGGATGTTGTTTTGTCCTCCTACCAAGTGCACTTGCGCGAAGCAGAACTCTGGTATCATGGGCGCAGTGCGTGTTTGCGACATCCTGGCGAGGCCGAAAAATATTTGTCGGAGCCCGAGCTTGCAGTGAGCCAGGTATCTTGCAGTTGATTTCATTACCGGAGGGCGAAGCAGGCAAGGAAGCGACAGCTACTCAAGCATTCTGCATCTTCGGAAAAGTGTGGACACGGTGGCACGAACTCCGGCGCAGCCACAACTCTGCTAGCTGCAACTGTTAGATTGAGGCCTCTTGTCAAGAAGCTCGTTCTGTTTGAGCAGGAATGCTACGGACTGGGCACCTTGGCATTCAATCTGTTCGGGGTTGCCTTGGCAGTTGCAGCGCCTTGGATTTTTGAGCTTCTGCCACTCTTGGGTCGTTGTCTTGATGTTCGCTGGTGCCGATGCACGTCGACAGGAAGTGGAATCTGAAGTTTTGCTCCTACCATAAAACCAAAATTTCTGCATGGCTTGTGTCTGAAAGACATGGGAAGACTGTGGAAAACCGAACCGGACAGCCTTAGAATTCGATGCTAGCTTAAGTTCGAAGTATCAGCATGGCTCTTGTTGAACATGGCTTGTGTTAGTTGTGGACACTGCTGCCTATTCAGCCCAACCTGCACCCGAAGCCGCACCACGCCGCTGCCGCTTGTTTCTCTCAGACCAGCAGGCCGTCATTGTCGCTCATTCCGTCTTGTCGCATCAATGCATCTTGTTGTCATGGTGTTCGATCTGTTGCACGTTTTGGCTGAAGCTTAGGAGCGGTTCAAGCCTCACAGTCCCTTCGCTATTTTCGAAGCCCTGTCGAAGCCATGTCGGGACGGAAAAACACAGCTAGACAAGACGTCCGAGCTCCTTTCACACAGCGACAGGAAGAGCAGCAGAAAGAGCTCACAGCGAAAGCCGGGTCCATGGAAGAGAGACTTAATGCCCCGCAGTCCTCGGCTTCTCCACATCGCTGCAGCCATCGTCCTTCACAGCGCCCGTAGAGCAAGGTGTAGATCGGCCAGTGTATGGAGATGATTCAGTTGGCCATGCAGCACAAAGGCGCACCAGCCGTGGGTGCGGTCTATGCTTCCTTTGCCACATCATAGGCCAAGACCAACGAGAGGGTGGCGAGGAGCAGGAAGTCTGAGTCCTGCGCATCAGGACAGTTTGGGATGAAAAAGACATGCTGTTCGCCCAGATTGAGCAGGCCAAGCGGATCTTGCGACGTCCCGCCTGGACGTGGGGAACCCGGTGGCAAGGTCGAGCTCTCAGCCGCCTTGATCCTCACAGTCCCTTCCCTCACAGCGCGGAAGCGGATTCTGGAAGTTGCCGATCGCGTCTTCCCGTGGTACAACCACGCAGTGGGGACAAGGACCCACAAAAGGCTTGCCTCACCGCTGCAGAGCTTAATCAATGCCTACCGGAACGCATTCCCGAAATTCAGCCCTCACTGGAAAACGCTGCCACTTGTCGACAGCAAGGAAGCTTGGTTGGGAAGGATCGTCCACAACCGGGCCGCCATCTGTGAGCACCACGGCCGGGTCCCTCACAGACCAGGTTTGTGAAAGTCGCATCCCCTCAGAGCGGGCCCCGAAGCTCCTGGAGTCATGGAGGAAGATTTGGTACGACCAGTTGCGGCAGCAGGTCAACCAGGAAACTTTCTCCAAGGCGGCCGAGCTCACAGCCCACAACTATGCTGAGGCCAAGCGCTTGAGCAGGTTCCTGACCAAGGCCATTCCAGAGTACAACGGTTTTCGCTACGAGTTCCCCTGGCCGGTCAAGCTCGTCCACGTGGACACTGAGCGCACTCACTTCACAGGTTTCCAGTCGACGGAGGCTCTGATAGGCTTTCTAGCACAAGGCAACGTGGGCCTTCATCAGTTGGCCTAATCTTCTTCTTTCCTGGCGTGCGAAGCCGTCCAAGACGTGGTCTGATGAATTCGGCGTCATTGCTGAAAATCTGTACCCAAAATGGGTCTTCGTCTTCAGCAGCACCTGCGGCATAGGCCTCAGGAGGGCCAGCACTGGTACAGGCCGACTGGACCTCAGCAAGGGGACAGACAGGCTCGGCCTGTTCCGGCGATGTGGGGATCGGCGTTGGCTGGATGGGAGCGGCTCCCTGCAGAGATTGGCCCCCGATTCGACTGGACCTGCAGCTCGGTAGAACTGTCAGGGGCCTTAACAGCAGGGCCGGAAGGGGCCGGTGAAGGAGGCTTGGGTGCCGAAGAAGCACTTCGGGGTAGACAAGGACCCACCTTTACGCAGCGTCGCAGGAACAGTTTGCGCGCTTGGGAGTGGTCCACGGAAGCGTCCCGCGGTGTGGGGACTTTCCACCAGTCGCCCTGGCCGTTGCGACCAAGGCCGGCACCTCTACCCGCACGGGGGAGGAAGGCGGGGGCGTTGGACCCTCTAGCCACTTCGGGCGAGGACGAAGTGGAGCTCGGGGAGCTTCTGCGCTTGCTTTAGGCCGTTCGCGTAACCACGCTTGGCGTTCAGCCTTCGGAGGACGAGTTTTCTTCCGGCTTAAATTCGAAGAACTTAGCCAAACTCCAGTCTCTTGCCATCGACGCACTTGTTCATCATAATGGCGACTGTTGCGTGGGCGGTCTGCCATGGCAGCCGCCCACACTAGGGCAAAAAGCCCCCCTTCCCACTACTGATTTGAGCCGGGTCGGCGGTGAGCGGTTTGAAGAACCTGCCCGGCCTAATCTTCCCTCCCGATCTCGTACTGCAATGCATGTGCTGGACGTGGACCATGACTGACATTAGGCTCTACATACATGATTGACATTAGCACCTTCGAGATTGACAATACGAACTACGGTGTGTTCTAGTTTGCCTCACTTTCTTCAGGCTGATGTTCCTGGCCACCACAACAACATCGTCGACCTAGAGATTCAATTCTTGGTTGCTGGAGTTAGCTCGGTTTGACTCCACGCTGGAGCTTGGGCTATGGCCCCACACGTATCACGCATCTGTCTCCACAGGCCATCAGAAGAGTTTGGCTGCATGTGGTTGGCTCACATGGCAGTTCCAAAACATGTTGCCCACCACGGGTTGCCGCAGGAGCCGCCAGGGCGAGCCGGGAGTCCACGATCTCCTTCTACTATTTAGTCTCCTTCACTGGACACACCACTCACTGCTTTTACGGTGATCAGAGGACGCGAAGCCCGCAGTCAAACGGCTGAGAGGTTTTGCTCCTGTATACATTGTTAATCTCCTGCCCGCTGCTGGAAAAGTTTACCCTAGTCCATGTTCGGGTGCCCCCGGAAATGGTAGCTAAGAGCCCGCGCATCCCCTCTTGTACATTCAATGTTTTCTCAGAGGCTGCTCCTTCTTTTCCGTGTCGCTACAAGTTATCTATATAACTTCCACCAGCATCGGGTGGCCGTTCCTGATTAATTTCCTTCCTTCCTTATTCTGTACATACTCCTGACGTCTGAGCGGCTGCTGACAGGCGGTCCTGAGCATGGATTCGCCTTGCGCATCGGCAGATAACCACGACCGCGCAGGAGGCGCCAGGCTTGTCGGAGATGATCGACGAAGGGACGCAGATGAAGCGCGCTCACAGTGACGGGGGCTGGGCAATGAGTGCCGCCAGCGCCCCCAGCTCCTCCCCGATCGCTCCACAGGGCCAAAGGCACGGGCGAGCTTTAACTTACGCCTCACAGGCCGAGCTGAACGGAGCCACGAAGGCAGCCAAGATTGGCCACGTGAAGAGTGGATTACAGTGGTGGGATCCCGGAAGAGCATCAAGGAGGTTGGCCCGCTCGTGACAGCCCAGCAAGCCCATCCGCTCTTTCATGCAATCTTCCGAAGTCTTCCGTGGCAGCCACACGCTTCGCTTTTTCACAGGCTGCTTCTTGTACCATAGACAGCTTCGATTCGCTTTCCGGGAGAAGACTTGAGCCGCCCAGGCACGCCTTTAATGGCGAGCTCGGTGCATTGAGCCATTATTGTAACTTTAGGACAGCTTCACTTCACAGTTCCATTTTCCAAGTTGCTCTGAGAGTTGTTCTAGTGTGCCTTTCGGCGACGAAGTGCCCCACAACAACTTCCCACCTCCACCTGCGCAGCCTGCCTCTTCACAGACACGTGCACAGTACCACAGACGCTGCAGGTCACAGCCAGCACGACAACGGAGAACCCGCCGACGCGTTGCCACTCGTTCCCTCAGCGCAAAGCGAGAAAGAGAGAGAGAGAGAGAGAGACAGACAAAGAGAACGGAATTCCACCAACAGGCCGTGGTTCGTCCTGAACGAGTCCCGACCGATCAGATATCCGATCCTGCCGGACTTCGGACCGAGCTTTTCAAGCCATTTGGAAAAAAAATGCGGCTGCTTTCCGTTATCGCGTCCCGACCTCGACCGTACATAACGCACATGTGCAACCGGATGAGCTCGCGCATTTCCTTGAGACGGTTCACAAGCCGATCTCAAAACTGAAACTCTCGCCCCCGAGACACAAACAATACGATTCCCAACCAGACCTGCTCCAAAAAAATGTGCAGCTTTAGAAGTCGAGTCGAACCGGATTTGAAAACTACAAAGGGCCCACGGCTTCATCGCGTGCCCACGAGATGGTCCATCAGGAAACGTGCCAGTGCCGGTGGTGGCTCAAGGACAGGGTGCTGTGGCACCAGGATGTTTCCACCAGGGCAAAATGGATGCTCAGGAAGTAGTCTTGTGGTACAAACGTAACCCAAGAAAACCAGCAGGGGAAATTCCACGTGCTTCAAGTTGTTGTCGTAGTAGCACGGCTCCTGTGGTGAAGGCTGGTTGTTGTCGTGCTTGCCACTGGGGATCAGGTTCTGGATCCCAGGCGTCCATCACAGACCACAAAAGAGACAAGTACAAACGGCATCAACCAGTGCAACGTGAACAAAAAAGCAAGCTCCAAAAGGTAAAGTTGAGAGGACCCTATATGTTGTGGGTATGTGATTGAGACATAGACATGCATTATCATGCATTTCACAGCCTAGGAGGCAGAAGGTCAGCTGCTTCCAAGAGATGCTGCTGAGCCTTCACCGAAAGGAGGCTTGTTCTGTTGCAATCCTCGCACACTAGTCAGTCGAACGTGTATCAGTGGCTTTGCACTGGCAGGAAGATGCTCACAAGCGCCAGTGCCCGGTGTTTGTCAAGAAGCGTGTGATTCAACATCTTTTTCAATCTTGTGAGCATTCTCGCAAGCGTTGTGATCATCATGTGCTTTGCATCGGTTTTGTTACTCCCATTCACCAAGATAAAGCGTGTTGACGTTGAAGATTTTGTATGTCTGTGTTAGTTTCGCAACATGGACAGAGCATAGCGGCATATTGAAATTTGCACCGTATGTAACCTTCGCATTGAGTACAGTTATCCAGGAGCAGGCGCACTTAATTAATCGTCGACCAGCGGCCTCATGGCGTCAAGAAGTCAATCTGAGCTCCACCTGAAGAGCTTGACTTTTTGCATTTTGTGGTGCTTGCTGGTCTCATCGTCGCCAGCTTTCAGTCTTGATGCAGGCAGTTGCGAGGAGGATTTTGCCTTCCTTCAGTTGGTTTCTCGGCCTGCGACTGCTGATGGGGTTCCCCTTCGCTCCAACGCAGAGGTTTGGGCAACTTATTCTGGACTGGATTTCATGTTGTCCCAATCAAAGGATTTTGTGGCTCATAAAATCGTTCAATCGCCACTGATGAGAGAGCAGACTGTCAACATCGCCTTCGGAATCAGCCTTGAGATTGGGGACTTACTTGCGACGAGCTTACCCAGTATAAGCTTCGTCTCGCCCGTTTGGACTCAAGCTGGCGTCCAAGTAGGCGTTGAGGTCAAAGGTTTGCTTGCCAAAGCAAGCCTGAAGGTCTCGGCACCGGAATCCAAGGGTGAGCTTCTCGTGAAAGTGGATGGAACTTTTCACGGCAACTACAACATCGCTGTGGTGGACAAGCGCATCACGGTTGGGGTCGGCAGCCTCGTCACGCCGACGCTGCATGTTCAGCCCACGCTTGAGTTGTCCTGTGTCAGCCCTGGCTTTTGGAGTTCGGTGCCGTGCGCAGCTATCAGTGCGCTGAACGGTGATGTTCCCGGTTGGCTTGTAGACACGATTCTGTTCTTCACCAGGTCGCATGTCGAGCAGCTCCTTCAAGACATCATTGAGCAGAAGCTGGATGCCAACTTGCGCACCCTTCCAAACAGAATGCAGATTCTGTCATCCCGCGAGGCCCAAGTGCAATTGGCGTTCACCCCACTCGGCATGCTCCAATCTCTTGATTTCAAAGCAGCATCATATCACATACTTGCCGAAAAGGCTCCAGAAGCGCTTCCTGAGGAGATTTCCGTACCAGGGCTGGCTCTTCAAAATCATTCTACCAGGACGATGTTCGCCATGGCGCTGAGCAAAAGTGTGCCGAACAGTTTGTTGGTAGTCCTGCATGAGTCTGGCGCACTCCGCCACACTGTCTTCCCACAGGACCTGCCTAATAACAGTTTGTTTGGTCTGGATACATTGAGCCTGGAACTTGCATTCTACTGTCCATGGCTGGCAACTATGTATGCCTTGGAATGTCCGTTTTGGAAGCCTTGTGCAGTATCGGCGACCATTCAAACATCTGGACGGCCAGTTGTCGAATTGTCCGATGGCCTCAATTTGACCATTCCCCTTTCGGTGGATTTCCACCTACTGGATACGGTGTCCGACAATTCAAGTTTTCTGTGGCGGGTGAACACGACAGCTAGTTCAATTTTGCAGCCGTTCATGGTGCACCTGGCCCCCTGCAATCAACTATTCAAGGCCAGGATTGAAGCTCTGCATGCCAGTTGGTTCGACGTCACCAAAACGAAGGACGATTCATGGGTTGCGACAGCTCTCTCCATCAACCTTTTCTTGCCAATGCTGCTGAATGGACCTTTCCTAGACAAGATTAATGAGTACCTCGGCGAAGGCATTCCCCTCAAGCCTGTTAACTTTGGTGGCTCACATTACGCTCTCTCCAATTCGTCTGTCGAAGTGTCGTCTGGCAGAATTGTTTTGTCCAGCAATGTCTGGCTTGCCGAAAGATGTCCTTGACTTGCAACACAGGCTGCATGAAGGCAACAGAGCTCGGATTGAACCGCAACGACGGCCGTTTGGTCCTGCCTTGGCAGGCTGCTCTGAAGCGTCTCATGAGAAGCCAGAGGCAAAATTTAGTCCGGCATACATGGCGGCAAGCATGCCAGGTTGATGCAATCACGGCTTTCTTCCAGGTACGTTTGTAGCGCTGCAGCCGGCTGACACGTGACCTGGGTAGACTGCCACTTGTGCAGTGCTTGAAGCTCCGCAGCTGCGAAGAAAGGTCCGTGCTAGGCTGCTAGAATCGCTAGAACCTGTGTATGCGACATGCTCTGAAGATTACGCCCTCGTCGTGTGTCCTTGTGTGCCTCGTGTGTGCCTCGTGTCTCAGGCCGCCGCGTGGCTCTGAGGCCGCATAGGCCGTGGCGAGGCTAGGCCTAGGCTTGACACGTAGCTTAGAGTTTCCACGGCCATGGCCGTACGAGCCGCGTGTGCAAGGGCCTCAGCTCGATCTTTCTGGAATGAACCTTCGGACCTTGATTTTGCAAATGCAGCCTTCCGGCAACACTGCATCTGCAGTGTTGTTTATGTTTTTTGCTTCTGTTGCAATGCTACTCTGACTCCTAAAGGTGTACCTGCCGACCCCGTTGAGCAGAAGGGGGAAAGAAAGGCTATGCCCTTGCCTAGTAAATTCGCCGGGGGGGGTGGTCGACTTAGTGGCTTACTTGAGGCTTGAGGCTGCCGAGGTTGTGTCTGGAAACTGCTTCAATTCCGGCGGCCTTGTCGCATGCGTCAGCCTGTTTGCGTGTCTTGTGCTCGGTTACCGGGCTTCACAAAAGGATCAACAGGCGTGGAGTTTCAGCAACTGGTCGAATACAAATGCAAAGAAACGCATGTCGCCACCGCTTGAGCCGGCGTGAGTCCATTATATAGTGCTTGCACACCAGGGCAATGTTTCATTGGTTGTTTTCGGACTTCATGAGCTGTTCGACACATGATCGGTGATTTGCTTTTCCTGGTTTGATTTTGTGTGTGGTGTATTCCGGAACGGTATGGCAACAGACGCACAAGCCGATGTGATCTCTCATAGTAGACTGAATGTCATCCCATGTGTAACATTGCGTTCTCAGTACATCCACTTCGTTCGGTTACTAAAGGAAATAGCAGTTGAGCATGCACATTGGCGGGGTAGGTGTGAACGGACCCGGTCCAAAAGAAGCGATTTGGTGCCCTTCGGGGACTGGACACAGTGAAATGGAGTCAATCGAGGAGCTTATTCTCCGATAGCAGCATGCAGCAACTATCTGCATCGCAGAGCTAGTCTCCCACCAAGAGTTTTTGAACTGAAGCTGCGATATTCTCGCATTTTGCTCGCGACCTGCCTGCGGGATGTGTGAAGAGCACCAGAGTTTTCCGTGTTGTTAACATAGCGTGTTCATCCCAGGCCTCGAGCTTTGCACTCCAACGACTCGGACGATGGCGTATTTGCGCCACCATGAAATGGCGGCACTTGCAGAGGCAGACGCCCTTCAATTCACCATGCTGTTTGCAACGGCCCATGGTGCTTGTCCAGTGAAATCAGATGCAACAAAAGGACATTTGCCACGAATCCTGAGTATGTCGGCCAGGACAGGGTGTTCGCAGAATGTTGCTGGGGGTCGCCCATACAAATTCCCTAGCCTAACTTTTTGAATCCATTCACTGACTCGAAAGCTGCTTGAGCTTGGAGCATGGGATGGAACCGTGACAAGAATATCAGAACAGCGACAAGCATTTCAGAACAGCGACAAGAAAATGTCGTGTCACGCAATTCCGGCTCGTAGCTGCCATGGGGTGGCTTGTAGTAGTGTGTATATATATGTAAAAATATATGCTGTTATATGTAAAATGTTCCCACAAGAAAGCCAGTGAGGGATCCGCACGGGAAAGCCAGTGTATATAGCTGCTCTTGCATAGCTATTCTTTTCAACATGTCCGCTCCAAAGCTACCTCGAAAATTTTTGGCTTGTGACTTCATCTGAATCCACGGTATAATATCTAGAGCCCCCTTCACAAACTCAGCAATTTTGATCATATAATATAACAAGCTGTCTGAACAGAAAGGTCCCGTCCGAATGCAAATGATCATGCTAAGTGTTGCCTATGGTACGGTTACAAGAAAGTAAATATCTAAATATACATATTATACCTCTAGGCATATATGAACATACACATATATACATATATGCATACATACATTCATGCAAATACACATATATACATACTTACATCTTCTCATATATACATATATACCTATATACATATATACATATATGCATATATACATTTATACACAGTTACACATATATATATATATATATACATATATAAACATACATATACATATATACATATGGGCGCGCCCCTATTTGGGGTCCCCTACGTTTTTCGCTACATCATCTGACTGAGCTATAACCACCAGACTAGGTTATAACCAGCCGATTAGGTTATAAACAGCCGACTAGGTTATAACCATTCGAATAATTTATAATCAGGTATACATTACAGCCGACTAGGTTATAATCAGGTGTACGTCATCGACTACAGTATCATATCCGGTTTGAAGACCATGTCTTCAGAATGCTGAAACCCGCACAACGCTAAGAATTCTATGACACCTTCGTCGAAAACCTGTTACAATGTGCTAAAATCCTTGCTTTGAAGCCGTCGATGTAGCTTCGTAGTTCATGTTTGTGTGACTGTATCTAAACCGCTGTAATTCAGGTTTTTCCAACAAGCGCGCTGTAGTCATTAGTCTGGTTCAGTCATTCCTTATCGCGAACTAGATTTTGCAACGAAACGTTTTCCATCTTTGTACTGTAATGCCGCAATCCCACCAAAGTGTCTGTTGTTGGACGCATTGCTATGACGTTTTGGCAAAGTGATAGCTTTCAATGACATATCCCTGTGCCCCCATGTGATTGCTTTTAAACACTGGTATATCCGGTAGCTATATTTGAGTGGTGCATTCCTTAATTCTGTATGACGGCTGCCCCAAGCCAAAATTGAAAACTTGCATACTACAAGCTTAGCAAACGTTGTATAGTGTTTTTCCTAGGGGACGACATGAAGCGTCGCTTCTTAGGCTTGGCACTGTTTCTATATGCCGAGTGATGTAGCCTGTGCTTCTTGTATCAGCATACCTTAACCATCACGTAAAGCCGACTGAAAACCATAAGGCTACATCTAGCTTGTCCGAATTTTTGTTTGTGTTCTTGTGAATATTTACTGAAAGTCGAATAGAAGCCATTGTTCCCAGTCCAGAACGTGACCCTCGTGTTAGAAAAAGTGGTACACACACACACACACACCGAATCACTCCTCGAAAGAAGTTCATCCATGTAGTTGGAAATAGCATTGCGAGGAATTTTCTACGTACCGAGCGAGGAAACCTAACAGTTTAAGTCGCGAATTTTGTTTCGCTCACCACACATATTCTTATCAGTTTTGTCTCGTCGAAATCCGGCTTCCTTGGAACGATGTTTGAGCATAACGTTGCAACCAGTTCACCTATGTACGAAGTGATGAAACCTGACCACGCTGTAAAAATTGAAATGCTCTCTCTCCCTACAATGACGTCGTATCAGCCGTATCTCAACTTTCTATGTACCGTGATATTCCAATGTTGACAACACTTACTGACCTACTGTAACCCCGATAGAGCCCCTTCATATTCCGCATTTTGATTCCTGCGTGAGTGACATGTTAGCGGCTATTCTCTCAATGTGTACATAGGTCTCATAAACCCGATGTACTGGAACGGACAAACCATTGTGTAAAGTCGCCAAAAAGCCTTTCCGCTAAAGTTGGGGAATGCGCATATGGTCCCCGGAATTATGTTTGTTACAAAGCACTGCATCATGCCTCAACAACCGCATACACGCCAATTACCTCGGACCCTCTATTCTTCCAGTCCTTGTTTAATTTCATTGCGGTTACATTCACCCTGAAACACCGACACTTTCGAACGTTTGGATTTAGGTGTTGATGAAGTACTGTAGCGGTGGCACAGGCCTTGTTATAACCTCTGTCCCCGGTTATAACCAGGACACCTGCGTAGTAGGCAGCCCTAGACCCATCACTACGTAAACCATTAAACCATTAACAAACCGTTAAATTAGTACACCGTTAAACAAATCCTTTGCCCCAATGGACCCAAACCAATAAACCATTAAACCATTAAACCAATCCTTTTGCCCCATACCACTAAACCATTAAACCATTAAACCAATCCCCTTACCCCATACCACTAAACCACTAAACCATTAAACCATTAAACCATTAAACCAATCCGTTTGCTCCATACCACTAGACCACTAAACCACTAAACCATTAAACCATTAAACCATTAAACCATTAAACCATTAAACCAATGCTGTCGGCCCATACAGGGATGTGTCTCTCTCTATAGGGGAAAATGATTGGTTTAATGGTTTAATGGTTTAATGGTTTATTGGTTTGGGTCCATTCGGGGAAATGATTGGTTTAATGGTTTAATGGTTTATTGGTTTGGGTCCATTGGGGGAAATGATTGGTTTAATGGTTTAATGGTTTATTGGTTTAGTGGTATGGAGCAAAAGGAATGGTTTAATGGTTTAGTGGTCTGGGTGTGCAAAAACCCAGGGGACCCCATATAGGGGGGTACCCATACATATATATATATATATATACATATAAACATATATACATATATACATATATACATATATACATATATACATATATACATATATACATATACACTTTTATACCTATACCCATATATACATATACACTTTCATGCACCATATATGCATATATACATATATATATATACATGAACATATACATATGTACATATAAACATATAAGCACATATTTACATAGGTATATAGACATATACATATATACATATATACATATATACATATATACATATATACATATATACATATATACATATATACATATATACATCTATACATATATACATATATACATATATACATATATACATATATACATATATACATATATACATATATACATATATACATATATACATATATACATATATACATATATCTTTCTTTCGGACGCTGCAGAGAGAGTCTTCGCTTAGCGAGCCGTTGGGACAGGCGGCTGACCTGGCTCTGAGAGCATCGTGATTTTCACGATTCGGAGGCGTGCTACGCCAGTCATCATCGTAGTTCGACGAGGCAGTGCCTGACACGAATGTCCCATTGCACTGCATGGATTGGCTAATCGTGCTGGTAGAGATACACATAGCCCGTTCGAAGAACAGTCACCGGCACAGTGTGGTGGAGCTGCCGACTCGAGCCTTCATTGAAACGGTTCACCTGCACAGCCAGGAGCCGTGGCTCAGAGAGGAGGGCGGTAGCCCCGTCAAAAGTCTGTAGGCTCCAGCTATTGATCAGCTTTTGCAAGGTAAGCGTGCCTTCAACATTAGCTGCTACCTGAGATGGCGGCTCTGGGACGAAAAGCGGCCATGTCACCCCACGGTCACGCACCTGAAAGCGCACAGGAAGGGGAGATCCCACTGCAGCAGGCGGAGCAGAGTCCGACGAAACAGACAGACAACACTGCCAGCCTCCGGCGAGGAGGTTCGGAATGACCAACCTGCGCACGAAAACAAGGTATTCAGCAATGTCGTGTTGCTGATGTGGACGAAGCCAATCTGAGTGCAGAAGGGTCCAGTGAAGTTTGGACCACAGATCAGGCAGTCGTGCCTGTGTGCGCATTCGCTGCATAACCGATTGCATAGCCGCCGTCCAATAAACCTCATGGGAGGGAAGAAAGGATAGCGACCAACACAGTGAGAGCAAAACAGAGTTGGCATAACAGTGATTGCAGGTATTGGCAGTGATCGTGTCTGGATGAAGTAAGGAGGGAACACTCAGTGATGCTGGAGCATCTTGGGCATCTCGATGGCCAGGGGGGAGCGACCCATCCGTTCCGAGCGAAGAGAGCGGCCGATTAGCTGCCACAGCGAGGAATGCGAGAGGTGCAGCCGATGCTGGAACAGGGTGTGAGCCTCCTTGGTCTGGGAGCCGGTCTGAAGGAGGAAGGGAACTGTCGGCCCTTGAAGAGGTCCTGCTACCTTTTGCGTGGAGTGGAAGCGCAGAATGCTGAGAGGAGCAAGGCCGTCTTCATTTCCTCCAGGATCTCCACCATGCGAGCAAGCGGGATCGGAGTGCGATCCGCAAGCGTCTCCAGCCGCCTGCCATCCTGATTGAAAACCAGAAACGGGATGAGGAGCTCTGCATTTTCGTCCTCCGACGGGGGGAAGAGCTGCAACTGCCGAGCATGCGAGAGCTGGTCCTTGGATTGAGTCACCTTCTGAAGGCATGACAGGAGTTCGTCCAAGAGGGTCCGGAACAGAAAGGATCGAAGCGGCAGGTTGATCTCGTTGTCCTTCTGCTCGCGCATTTCGTGCCAATGCTCCGATTTCTGAACGAATTTCGTCACTAGTGACATGTGGCTCTCCCGCTTGAAGAACATGATGAAGCGTTCGGACTTGTTGATCCCGAGCTGATCTTCGTGCCTGAACAGCAGCTTGGCCATCAGGCGAGTGAGGCCCTCTATTTGCTTCTCCTCGCAACTGTGAGGCTTCCTTCGCGGCGGTGGCCGTGCTGGGGCTTGCCCTCCCTTCCTCGGCCGCCCTGAAAGCCACGTCTGGATGCACGGCGACCCCCCGCTTTGACTTGTCCCTCCATTAATCTTCACCCTCCTCTTCCAGTTGATTGCTCGTACAGGATCGCTTGCCCGGCTGTGGATCCTGGTCCATCTCTCTCGGCTTCTCCCCCCCGCATTGCAGAAGACTGTACTCGGCCTGTGCCTCCTTCCACTGCAGGTCCTGGAGCGAGTTTAGGCTGCTCGGGAGAGAGGTCATGTTGCACATGATGACCTGTTGCAGCGCCGGACAGGCAGCCACGTGTTGGCTCTTATAGGTCGACACTAGCTGCAAGGTGAGGTAGCCCCAATGGTTCGGGCTGGCTCGATAAAATGTCCTGTGCTGCCACGTGCCCCTAAGCCTCGATGCGAGTCTGCGCGCCGATACCCAGCTGGGGGGTAGATTTGCACAGCAGACCAAGCCGCTTCTGAGTGCAGCGACCCCCGGACACAATCTCGGATGTCCTGTTGCAGGCCTGGAAGGATTGCGCACCCACTCGACCGATGCCCGTCCCGCTTCTGGCCATAGCCAGCGTACGGAACTCATTGGCTCCGTACCGGAACACTCGTATTCAGCTTCTGCGTGATGAGGCCGAGGCCGCCTCTTACAAAGGACTTACGGCGGTGTACAAGGTGGTGAGCAAGCTTGCTTTTAAGACTGCTGGCAAACCCATACAGTTCCGAGATTCCGAGGGCCAACCGCACACTGCCGAGCAGGAGTCTCTTGCCATCAGTAAGTACTTCTCCAACCTTTATAAATCCTCACGGCCCGAGCCCCAGCCGCCTACTACTGACTCTTGCCACAGCCGGTCTCTCATGCTGAACTGCAGTCCACTCTGCTGCAGCTTCGAGCCTCCGTGGATCGCGCCCACTCTGGGCTCTGGCCGCTTCCTCAGTCGCTGATATTGCGCACCCTAGGCGCTTGAGAGCTGGATGTGTTGCATGTCGAGCCCCATGCCTGCGGAGTGGCCCAAGTCGGCCCTCTGTCTGCTCAGCAAACCCTCCAAGCCGCCAAGTGTTCCGGAAAATCTAGGTCCTATTGCATTGTTACTTCACACGGTATCCAAGTGCCTCGCTTAAGTGGTTGCCGAGCGTATCCGCCCTCAAGTTCTGGCACTCGCCGTCCGCTTCCCACAATATGCTAACATGAGCAATCGGTCTGTCGAAGACTCCATAGCGTGCTTGCCCGCGCTGTCCCTCGAAGCCCAGAAGTAGAACCTCCACAAACGCCGGGAGGGGCTAGGTGTTGGACACTGTCGCGGAGGACTCTCTTTCCCTCGATCTCTCTCGTGCCTTCGACTTCGACTGTTTACCCCGGATGGTCTTGAGGGATGCGTTGCTCTTCGCAGAGGTCGATGCTTCAATTGTTGACCTCATAATGCACCTCCATCGGCAGTCCACCATTTGCATTAACCACAAGTCCTCGACCTTTGAGATTGAGCTTCGTTCTGGAGTGAGGCAGGGTTGCAGTCTCTCCCCAGCCCTTTGGCACATCTTTATGTAGCACATAGCACATAAAGATGTGCCAGTAATGGGTGGTTGATACTCCTGATGATGTCCTCTCTGCCCTGCGAGACATGGCTTTTATCATTGATGTCTTGACTAGCAGATGTCAAGACCGTCATCATTGATGGACTGCGTGGGCCGCGGAAATCTCGATTGCCTAAGCCCTTACAAGTGCAGCACAAGCTCAGAGTCTCAAAGAGCCGTGTCTCAAAATCGCTTGTCTTCAGGGCTTCCTTGATATACCCTTTTGCAAGCAGCATCCTTACGTCGGTATTGTACTCAGCTACGACCGCTTCGAGAAACTCTCTGCAAGCCCGTCCCAAGCAAGGATGGGCAAACTACAGCCGCCCGTTCTCAATCCTGCGCTCCAATCACATCGCCCCGCGAAAGCGGCTGCAGCTCTGCACCTCGTGTGTCCTCTCTGCCACGTGATACGGTTTGACCAGTACAGGGCTACCTCCCAGAGGAGCGGAACTGCGGAACTCCTGCGGCAGGTTGTGGCTAAGAAGGCCCGTCTGGTCCTCAAGTCACGCAGTGGCATCACTCATGCAACCAAAAACAGCAGCTCCACACCAGGTATCCTGTTCCGGACCCCTGTCGCACAGCTGGCCTCTCTTTTGGAGGGTCGGCGACTTCGCGCGTCTATGGATTTTTCGGTGCTCGACACACAGGCCGGGGGGACCGTGCAAAGTCGATGCTGCAGCAAGCCCAGATACAGGTTTACAGCCAGGCCTGCGCCTGCGCACCCAGGCACGCTGTCGAGGTCGGAACCTAGGCGGACAAGAATTCCGAAGTCGAAAACCTCCCCGCAGGTGCAGGCCGAAGCAAAGTCGTGAGGGGCAGGCGCGCCGCATCCAGATGCGGACAGGGCTCGTGAGAGACCTCGAAGAATGGCTAGCGCAGGAAAAACCAGCCCACGATTCACTGAGAGTGCAGAAGCGCTCATATATGCATCCCCTCCCTTCGAGTCCTCCAGACCTTTTGGCCTCCGGGGGCTAGGGCGATGTCATGCCATCGGCTTCGCACACAGGGCGCTTCGAAGGGTGGAACAGAAGTCCACAGAAAAATCGTGTGAGGCCCGGGGCTCTCTGGTGCCTCGTGAGGCACGAGCTCGTCGAGGCTGAGAAGTCTTACTTAGTGCTGCTTCCCTTCTTGACCTTCCTGGGGGGCTTGATTTTAACATCAGCATCGTGAAAGGAGGGAGCTCCCAGGATCCGCCAGTGGAGGAGAAGGATGAAGCAGCCGCGATGAAGTCGCCAGGTCCGCGCTCAGGGGGGCGCTCTGAAGACAGGCTGGTGGGCTCCAGTGAGGCAGATTGCTCCCAGCGACATTCATCTCCGTCGGCAGGGGTAGGAGAGTAACCTCAGCCTCCTCCACAATCGGGAGGTCGCATGCAGATTGATTCGCTGGTACAGCGGGGTATACTCAGTCAGGTCGACAGCTGCATGCTTGGTGGCTGTGAGGTCGACCGCCGAGTTCTCCCTGCGCAACCCTGGCTCCGGCAGGACGTTGCCGCGACTGGCGGGTGCAGCGCAGAACAAGGTCTCCTGAATTCGATTTCGAGCATGCTTCGTCAGGGACGCGTGTTGAACGTGCTTTTGTCTTTGGTGGCAGCAGCATCTGAAGGGTCGCTGTGCAGCGTTGGACTAGATCTCCGTTTCGGTTTGGGAGAGAGACGAGGGTGCTTTCGAGCAGGCTCCTTCACGTTCGTAGCGGGAGATCCAGTGCTCCAGAGAGGACAGAGGTGTACTTCTGGACGATCTGGATGCGAGAGGCCCGCTGATTGCCCGCTCGAACAGCAGTGACCAGGTATATTTGAGCAGGGCAATGTCGGTGCCGTCGAAGTTCTAAGTCATCTCTGGCTGGATTGTAGTCCAGTAGATCTGATGGCACACGTCCTTTCTCTGCCAGCGCCTGATGAATGGCGGCCCACGGGCGTGATTGCAGAAGTGAGCTCAGCGCCAGACGAGGTGGAAGCCAGGGCTCGAGGAGACAAAGCCGAAGGAGAAGGTCGCCTTTCATCAGGCCGCGCTTGCTGCCGGACACGACGCTTGAGCTGTCGAGACAGCATGGGAAGGGTAAGGGCCCTTCCAGCGGCAGGAGGGAGCAAGGGGCGGCAAGGGCACCGCAACCCGGAGCTGAGCCAAACAGAGACATGCAGTCGGGGATGATGGGGGATGCATCCATTGGTCGAGAGAAAGGCAGGTGTGCAGGCTCGAACCTTGGCAGCAGGCACAGGCTCGCATGGCAAGACGCCCGAGCGAGCACGCGCAGTGCAACATAGTCACTGAGAGGACTGTGGCAGAATGCAGCGAGTTCCAGGAGCGGGGCCAGGGCCTGATTGGCAATCAGGACCGGATCTCGGAGGGCTGCGACTCCTTGAGCGAGTGCGGGTGCTTGGTGGGGGTTGATGCGTCTGATCAGCTTGAACCTGCCCGCCACTCTCGATACTGTGATCCGTAATGGAGACTGCGTAGAGCAGCTCGGTCTCTGTTGGAGGGGCAGCTTCTTCGGCCATGATCGAAAGAGGCTAAACTAAACCCAAAAGGGGGAGTGATCGAGTCTTGTTACGAGTCTTGTTCTGCCTGGGAGGCCTGTGCCTGCCCTAAACCCTAAGCCCTGTGAGGCCGTGTGCCTCCTGAAGAGAAGACAGAAGGGGAGGGCATAATTCAATCAATCACTGGATGTACGCACAGTTGCTGCTGAGGCGCAAACCAGCACATCTGAACGGCTGACGAATCAAACAGAAAACTGGTTCAAAAGGTACAGTACCCCAAGCAGGCAGGCAGTATAGTCGGGCCTGGCAGATTCCTAGATTTTGCATGCAGAATGCCAGTGCATTCCTGTGAGCCCACCTGGAGATCCAGCGATCACCCGGGCCGGCAAAGATCCAGGAGACCACACAGCTGATCAGGAGCCCGAGGTGTGGGTAGCTGGATCCACCCTCGCGGCAGTGATCGTGATGCTGTAGGTGTATTGCAAGCCTGGTGGCACAGGGAGGTGGACCGCCGGACACGTCTTGGCACGCCCATGGACTCGGAGTTGCAGTCGTGGTTGTCGTCCTCGTCCCAGCAGGGTCGACGCAGGAGCAGTGCTGCCACGACGAAATGTGGGCTAGAGATAGTCCATGGGAAAATGGAAGATGAAGCGGGAACACTGCAAGCTGTTGAAGGTGCTCCGATGCCAGCAGTGGCAGCCTTCGGCCGGGGCCGATCCCCTGGGCAAGCTGGCCGGTTGAGTGGCTTGGGAGGAGGCTTCGATGCCCATCATCGGCCTCGCTGGACGATCGGAAGAGGTCTGCCAAAGACGAGTCAGAGTCCGAGGCCGGCGGAGCAACGGCAGGCTTAGCAGTCGACGTCGCTTGGCCATGAAAAAAGACAGCCAGG